ACTGATTTGAAAAAAATAATGGCTGTAGAAAGTCACTTTTGAAGCTATTTAATTTCGATTTTGTTTGAATTTTCGCTATTTTTGTTAACTAAAGTTTAGTTTAGTTTTTTTTCTTTAATTTGAATCGCTTTTGACTATAAAATTATGGATACTTCACCTGAAGTAGCCGCGCAAGCAGTAGCACTTCTTCAATCTGGACTAAGTCTGCGAGATGTGAGTTCACAACTTCTCATAAGTCGTTCCGCTATCCAAAGAGTGTACCATCGATACCTGGAGACTGGCGGCTTCGTTCGGCGAACAGGAGGACCTCGTTACCGGGTGACAACGGCGAGACAAGATCAATACATTGTAACTACCAGCTTACGCAATCGACGCCTTACTTCTGTTCGAATACAAGAACAGCTCAGGGACTTTCACGGAGTGGCTGTAAGTGCTTGGACCGTTAGAAGGCGACTCAATGAACGTGGTTTAAAGCCCCATAAGCCAGAAATGGACCCAAATTGACACGAGCACACCGAATAGCCCGTTTAGAGTTTGCGCGCGAACATCTAAATTGGACTCGACATCAATGGAGCCAGGTTCTCTTCACAGATGAGTCCAAGATAATGCTATACGGTAATGACGGAAGGAGTAAAGTGTACCGAAGAGAGAACGAGCGTTTCGCGCAATGTTATATTGACGAAAGAGTGAGTTATGGTGGAGGATCATGGACTGTCTGGCGAGGAATCTCTATGGAAGGCAAAACTGAGCTAGAGGTATAGTAACGGGACCACGACTGCCGCCACTAGATGGCAATAGATACATTCGCCAATATTTAGAGAACCACGTGATGCCATATGCTGGATTTATTGGCCAAGATTTCGTTTTAATGCATGATAATGCAAGGGCCCATATTGCGGGAATCGTCAGGCAGTACTTAAATGACATTGGTATCACTGTTATGAGACGGCCAGCGCGAAGTCCTGATATGACTCCTATAGAGCATCTATGGGATGAGCTGAAGAGGCGTGTTCGAGCTCATCATCCTGCCCCGCAAACCACGGAGGAGCTCAAAAATGTAATTTTGGAAGAATGGGAGGACATTCCTCAACAATATGTCATAACGACATTGATTAATTCTATGCCAAACCGTATGAGAGTTGTCATAAATGCACGGGGAGGAAATACAAGTTACTAAATAAACATTTCTTTTCATTTAAAAATCGATTAATTTTTTTCTTTGAAAAAAGCAAATATGGACTTGTTTCAACGTAACTCGACTTTTTTAATAAACTGTAGTTCAAATTTAGAACAGTGGCACTCTAAATGAATGTTGATTAAACCTTATTTCTGATTGAGGAAGCAGAGGTATTCAATCGTACTATCTCACTAATATTTATACATATAATAAAATCGTAGAAAAATCCAAACTGTACATTTTTTTAAAATAATATTTGGAGCGTGATCTGCAATCGATACCGAAGCCAAAATAATGGTTTTTAGAATTTTTGTCTGTTTGTCCGTATGTATGTCTGGGATGATCTTAAAAAGTACTGATTTACTTCAAATTTTGTATGAACATTACTTATAAGTCGGGTCAACATATAGGCTGCATATTATCACGCTATCATCGACGCGGCTGGAGTCCTATACTAGGTACTAAATCAATTCTGATATAAATTGTGAAAATCATATCATATCTCATTATCATATCATATCTATAGATCATAAATTGTGAAAAGTGGGTGTTACTACGTTACGGTGGCATTAAGTGCCGTTATGTGCACCTCTGCCTACCCCTTCGGGGATAAAAGGCGTGATGTTATGTATTTATGTTATATATGAGTAGACGTCTACGCTTACCATCAGTCAATATAGCAGTAAAGAACCTTCACATCTATATACAGGGTAATTCGACCATAATCTCGAATAGGGTTATAGACTCTATTACCAGATTAATTCTAATTTTTTTGTCGAACAAAGAGATAGGCGGAAATGAACGGTTAATAAAATATTTAACTCTTTTATAGTGATAATTTCAAAATGACGCCCACAGTAACTTCAAAAATGAACAAACAAAAAGAAACGCGCTTGACTTAAATTTCTTTTTTCTTTTCTTAAATTTCTTTCAAGAGCGAGGCCCTGTGCGATTGCATAGTTCGCCACCTCCAAAGGCCGCCGCTGCTCACAATCCATGCTTCCCGGTATATACTTTAAGATCTGAGACCTTTCTTAGCTCTTGTAATGTGCCCTTACACATTATAGTTTTTATTCTTTGCCCGGCCTAAGAATACAATTGGGTTAGAATCTATAGAAAAGGGAAAAGAACATTAATAAAAACTTAAGCCAAAATTTATATTATAATCCATGGAGGACTAACAGCTTATAAAAATGGATAAAAATAATCATAGGCGTAGGTAACAATGAGCCAATAACAAGTCCTCACGTTTAGGATTTATAATAAATTAATTAATATGGTGTGAGTACTATACAATATTAAAAATAGATACATTCTGCGTAAATGAAAAAGTTAAATATTGAAACAGACCGTGCAGACAATAGGATTATAAACAGATCAAGAGAAACGATAAAAAAAACTAAATATTTATTGCTGCTTAAAAAATTCTAGGTTTAAGCACCTCTTTGCCGAGTTAAAAAATTACCTTTTTTTAGGCGGTAAAACGATCCAATTACTTTTCCCGCCTGAGGTGAGGCGAGAGAGAGTGTAAGACTCTTACTGACTAAAACCACTCCTTTCCTACTCCTATTTTGCGCCAGAACCCTGGTAACCCGTTAAATTGTCCGCAGCTCCAGGAAGCCAAAGCTACCTGATCCTCTTTTGTGTTTTAATTATAAACGTTACTAATTTCTGATAAGGGAGTGGTCACTTCACATTAGGAGTTGATTTCAACAGCTCACCTGATAACAATAAACACAAGACACCTGCGTTGACAAACAATGATATAATCCGTAATCGCACCTGCGGAAATTGGATTGATTAATTATTATTACATTTTTAATTATAAACTCTCTTATCTTAATACTTCTATATTTTGGAATGATGGTTGGCAACAAAACAAATTTAAGTGTAGGAGAGCCATGCTTCGGCACGAATAGGCCGGCTCGACCGGAGTGATACTACGGTCTCACAAAAGACCGACGTGAAACAACGCTTGCGTTGTGTTTCGTCGTGTGAGTGAGGTTACCGGATGCACAATTACCCCTCCCCCCCTTTCCCAATCCCTGAGTACCCAACAATCCTCAAATTCCTAATCCCAAAAGGTCGGTAACGTACTTGTGACGCCTCTGGTGTTCCAGGACAGGTGTCCGTGGGCGACGCCGATTGCTTACCATCAGGTGATCCGTCAGCACATTTACCGGCTTATCCCACAAAAAAAAAACAGTTACTAGTTGATGATGATGATGTAATGATGACAAAGATCTCCAGTCGAGCCGATACATTTGTGCAGAAGCAAACGAGCAGACGGATCACCTGATGGTAAGCAATCGGCCCGCCCGGAACACCAGAGAACACTTGGCGTTACCGGCCTTTTGAGAATTAAGAATTCGAGGAATGTTGAGAATTCAGGGATTTCAGGGCAGATGGGAAAGGGACGGGGGGGGAGGGTAGTTGGGTCTCCGGTAATCTCACTCACAAGACGAAACACAGCGCAAGCGTTGTTTCACGTCGGTTTTCTGTAAGGCCTTGGTATCACTCCGGCCTGCTTCGCAATGACCTCTTCTTATACGAAGAAGAATGAGAATTAATCACCATTTTTATTAAGTTTTTCAGCTTCGCGACATTCGCCGCGTCGTGAGTCGAGAAATGCTGTTCATGAATATGAGCCCCTAGCGTGGCTTGAAACTAATCGAATTTCTCGTCAAACAGATACGTGAATAAGCCGAAGAAATAGTAATTAATTTAGTATGCCCCACGAAATTATTAATTGTGTTTTATTCTTCACTATAATGATTGATGAATGATGTCTAACGGCTGAATATAAATAACAAATTTATTGAGATCGAATATTCGACATTCGTTTGGTAGCTCTGCAGTATCTGTCAACAATGTGGATGGAGATATTTTGGACATTGTTATGATCAATTATGGAATTTCGATCATACCTAAATAATAAACTGGACAGACATGTAAAATAAGTGTCTATTATCTAGTCTATTATTATTATTATTTCTACACTGGTGAGGGTTGTGTATGTAAAACTATTATATTACTAGCTGTTACCCGCGACTTCGTTCGCGTGAAATTATTCATATTTCTCCTTAATTTATACTTTTTTCACGCGACAACGTGTTGATTGGCGAGGCGTATTTAAAAGCTAGTCGGCACGTTTATTGTCTACTCAAGATGGCGACTGCGGTTTGGCTGTCAGTGTCATTAAAATGAATTAATAAAACGAAATAATATCGGTAAGCCGAATTTTGCGGATATATGTTGTCGACTCAAAATCGATATTTTTATGTTTTGTTATTTTATGCTTCGATCGAGTCTACCGTACTCCTTGCCGAAATTTTTAATATAGATTATGATATACTGAGAAATAAATGATATTCAATTACCCATTCATCCTTTTATAAATAAACTTAGAAGTAGGTACGTACAACTGGGAATCATGTTGTAAACTGTCAAACACCGAGCGGTCACCGGTGACCGCAACCAATTGTTCTTTAATTGTGTCTATAATGACGGAAAAAGCTTTTTCTAATATTTTTATTAGTATAAAGTTATCATTTTGTTTCTTCCTTTGAGACCACTTAGTAATAGCAGTAGATAATGTAAAGGAATTAGATTACCAAACGATTATAAGATAATATCTTGTACTTTGTAATAATTCTATAGGCAATCGTTGGCTATCTTTAAATCTTTAATGAAGGATTAACAGTGGTCCGATGAACAAAAATCAATTCATCGATTTTTTATCAAAGCTTTTAATATATATGACACATATGACACACCTGCATTAGAGGCTTGATAAGGAGATAATATTTTCGTATAAATACTAAAAAATAATGAATGAATGCATCCGTCTTCAATAGCAGACAAGATGTTCCGTTTCGTGGTCCTGTTTGCAGCTCTTCTCGCCCTTGCGGCAGCCAACACCACTCAAGTCAGCCAGTGTAAGTAACTTTACTGTAATTTAATACAATACATTATTATTTTTTTACCATTCACGGGATCATGGTCTCTGTCATTTGGGAGGCGTCCGAGGGGCCGAAGCCAACTGCACAGAGGCCCTTTAGACAACGTCAATCTAAATGTAATAGACATACATGTAATTTATATTTTAAGTTGTATATTAAATTAGGACTGATCCTATTGAAACTCAAAAAAAAAAAAATAAACACAAAATAATATTATTTTCATATATTTATTTAAAATTCTCTATAAATTACATTTTTAAATACAAATAAAAAAATAATATTTAAAAATATAAAAAATAGGAGCCGACCAGTACCGGGAGCATGGTGTAAGCTACCGGTAGTTAGGGCTCTAGAGACAGAAACCTCCTCACGATACGATATATGTTTCATCTTTTGCTAAGTACATCTGAGTATTTCTAAAGCTCCCATTGAAATCTTTAGCACAATAGCCAAAGCGGCAATATATATAATTTCAACTTCAAGTGATTGCTGCCTTTCAATACATTAGTGCACTTGGCATCGGTATTCATTTTTGTGTGTGTTAGTGAAAATGTATTAACTTCTTCATCCAGCTATAAAATTAATATTTGTGACAGGTCAGCACAACCAGGGAGCTCTGCCCCGCAACACGCACATCCAGGGCTGCACCAGGCCGCCGTGCGCTCTACCGCAGCTGCGAGATGCCATCATTAACATGGAATTCGTGGCGCGTAAGTATCCCCGTACAAAGTAGTTCTGTCGACAGTTATGTCCAGAACACATAATGTAACTTATGCTTTATATTCATATATTGTGGATAATGAACTACTGGCGTGTTCCCTATAGCTCGCCGTATGACCAGCATGAGGACTCTCGCCACGGCTTACATGAGAGTCGGATCAACAACTATACCCGTTCCTTATGACCTGGGCGCAAACTCTGTGACTTGCAACCATCTAACCAACGCCTCCTGCCCCGTATCAGCTAATCAGACCCTGCGTTACACCCTCAGGATGTTTATTGAAGCTTTCTTCCCAGTGGTAAGTATATTTGAAATAGTTCATCCCCCATAAATATGATTTTCTTGTGGAACTTATAACTTCGTACAGCTTCGTTCAGCTTGAGCCTCAGCCTCGCTTGCCTATAATTTTATTGGTTATGTAATCTGTGCCTGTAGTCAAACGCCACTTTAGCGCTTGTCTACAGAGAGAGTAAAAATCAAAATGTATGAGGATGACACTGACAAGTGTCAAAATTTACGTCAGTTCCATATAATTTGATATTCTACATGTAGACAAGCGCTACAGCGTTACGAACAGCTGCTGTTTCGATTACATTGACGTTACAAAGTCCGCAGTTGGTCTGAATGGTCACAGTATACTGTTGGTGATGATGTTCAATATCTTGTTCCCGTTGCAGGGTACTGAGGTCACAGTGGAGTTCCGTATTGTGGACCAGAGCAACGCTCCCGTCGTGTGCGTCCGAGTGCCAATCAGAATTGTTTCTCCTTAAATCTAACGATGCTTTCTACAATAACAATTTGGCTCTCATAGCGTAATTAAATCTGTATAACCTTTTATAGATATAAATATACAAATAAAAAACCGTTTCCAAACTTGTCGTTCCGATTGTTGAAATAAAATACTTACTTGCTTTTGTTAATTCTGTTTTTTTTTATTTAGTACCTCAGTCTTGCGTCTGATTTATCTTTCTCTTTCAGATTTTGAGTTTGAAGCCCAGTTATAATAAGTATAAAAATATTTATAGCTATTGATTTGGGGTAACTTGTACCAATTAACACGCGAAAGAGACACAAAAATCAATCCAACTTTGATCTCATAATTATAATATATAATAATATGTAGTAGTATGATTTTTGCATACAATACGCTTTTCACATACAGCGTAGACAAGAGACTAAAACATTTCCAACTCAAATGACGATTGTGACAACAAGCCAGTGTGCACAAAATGTTGGCAACACAGGACAACACTCGTAAACCAATTACAAAGTTTTATGTGCACGGTGAAAGGGTTGCCAGTGCAAAATTTACATTTTCCACATTTTGTTTCCGTATGTCAAAATTTAGTTTTGAAACTTTATTTTAATGTGTGTTTTATTTTTTAAACAATACCTTTTTGTTAGTTTATTGTTTAACGTGGGTAGTAGACTGACATCTTGTTTGGTCTAATAGGTTTGCTCTGGTGTGTGACCAAGTGTGGGAGAGCCATTCGGCACGAATGGGCCGGCTCGACCGGAGTGATACCACGGCCTCACAGAAAACCGACGTGAAGCAACGCTTGCGTTGTGTTTCGTCGTGTGAGTGAGGTTACCGGAGGCCCAATTACCCTCCCCTTTCCCAATTTCCGCAATCCCTGAATCCCCAACGATACTCAAACTTCTAATCCCCAATAGGCTAGTAACGCACTTGTAACGCCTCTGGTATTCCAGGTGTCCATGGGCGACACCGGTTGCTTATCATCAGGTGATCCGTCTGCTCATTTACCGGCTTAAGCTATGAAAAAAAAAATGATGAAATGAAGTAACATTAATTTTCTGTGCCTATACACGTACTATATATGAAATTTATTTCGTTTTCATCACACGGCAAAACAACTTACCATAAGAAATACTTTCGATGTATAAAGTAAAAATAAAAACAAAGATGTTATTTTCTTAGTAGTTTAAAAAAATATATACGCACATGAAACACTAGAAGGAAATCTGTAGGCACTATATGACTAGACGCATCGCACGTGCCACCCGGCGAGAAATACCTCTTCGATAATTACATGGCGTGATGTTTTAATAATGTGCTATGAGTTTGAATGCGCTTTCAAAGTTTGCTTTTTGCAATGGTTCAACAGTTATTTTTTGTTTTACCTAAATATTTTATTTCCTTTGTATAACTATTGCATTACCAAGATAGAACCATTTTACTTCGAGACGAAAACGATATAGAATTCACAGATAAATTCATAAATAAAATAGTTTAATGTAGATTCTACTCCAACTTAGATAACAGTATAGTAACATATTACCTTATCAAACCTTACCTTACCAAGGAACTTTTGATATCATAGATAAATAACCCCATAAAAAAGATATATATAAGCTACATTTTTTCACAAGGCTCTATAAAAACGGTGTCGCACCTCAAGTAAGTGGCAATGGAGGGTTAAGCCTAATCTTTATGATCTACTTGCGACGTAAGTGGGTGAGCACCACTCTATAGAGTCTATCCGTGTCATAAAGGCTTTTTAGGGTTAGCTGAAGATATTGTTTATATAAAGAAGATATCTTATACTATTATATAAAGCGGAAGAACGCGCTAATCTCCGTAACTACTAGTCTGATTTGAATAATTCTTTTTGTGTTGGATAGTGCATTTATCGAGGATGGCTATAGGCTATAAAACATCACGCTACGACCAATAGGAGCTGAGCAGAGCGTGTGGAAACGCGCGGTAGTAGCTAGTATTATATATTCTTCGACTATTGCATATACCCCTCATCTCTGCTCATCAATCACTTCTAAATTTAAAGAGACTCATAAGCTAAGATGGGATAGTGCGCGTGTGTGAATGTGGGTAAGTGTGTTTGTTTGTCCGTCTTTTATGGCAAAATACAGCAACAAATTGACGTGTTTTTTTAAGTGAACACATACAACATAACATAACATCACGCCTTTTATCCCCGAAGGGGTAGGCAGAGATGCACATTATGGCACTTAATACCACTGTACAATGTAACACCCACTTTTCACTATTTATGTTATGTGTCCCATGTAATAGGGGTGTGAGCCTATTGTCATATACCGGGCACATTTCCAGACCCCGTGCTACAACTGAGATTTTTTTTAAAACGCAGTAACTTTGCCCGGCCCGGGTATCGAACCCGAGACCCCTTGCCCGACAGTCGCACATTGCAACCACTCGGCCAACAAGACAGTTTTTTAAGTGAATAAAGATAAAATAAACATCACGCTTAGCATTCTAATGGAGCTGAGTAGTGGAAGAAAACCTTGTTCTTTTTTCGAAGTCGATATATGTAGATACTCAATATAACAATCGCTTTTCTAAAAATCGTAACTAAATCGGTAGAATCAATCGTCAGATAATCACGAACAAACATACACGTTGTTTTGGAAGTCGGTTTTTTCGGATAACCGATTTACCTTATACATACGGTACACACAGCCCTAGTTGACATCAACGGTGGTAATCTGGTTCATCAATCATAATTTAGTGTCTCGATATGGTACAGCGACGAGTATTGATAACAGTGACGTGAGGTTCCTTTGATCGAACCCTTATCGTACCTCCCACCTCTCAGAGGAAATGAGGGAACTATAGTTTGTTATGTGTAACAAACCGAAGGAGTAGATAGAGGTTGATGTTCACTGTAACATTTATTTTTTTTATAATAACTATCGTGAGACATACTAAATTAACTAAAAGTCGTGGGTTACTCACGTGAATATACTGAGAAAATCTTTATTAGCTTCGAACCACAGAGGGGTCTTCCTCATGAGCAGCGTGCGCGGTCGTGGTGATGTCGCGCAGCCTACCGAGTGGTCAGTCAGTTCGATTCGATTTTTAGTTAATTTAACATTTATTTTGTTTATAACATTATATTTACATTTAACCATGAGGAAACGTAGGCTGATAATTTCTAATTATAAGTTTGAAATCGCCAACCTGCAATGAGCAAGCGTGGTGATTAATGCTCAAAACTTCTCCGTGTGAGTAGAGGCTTTGCTCAGGAGTGGGCATTTATAGGCTGTTGATGATGATGATGATTATTATTTACATTTATAACTATAAAACTTACAAATTAACAAAGAAAATAACAGATCATTGATCTATAAACTAAGTTTAAAAAAACCCACTTCAACCCCGTCTTTTTTGGAGTCGGTTAATTAATATACAGAAACCTTCTACTACGTGTAACAAACTTTTCTAAAAACCACATTAAAATCGATTCAGTCAATCGCGAGATAATCGTGCACCCAAACGCTCCCGGCACACGACCGTCCGAACATAGCCGAACATTGCACCGAGCTATGCTTCGTTCGCGCATGCACGCTCGCCGTATCTCCGCACGGCCGACGCGATTTTCGATAGCACGAACCTTCGCGATCTTTCCCAAACATCAATACGCATGCGCGAGACGCGCGTTGCGTGCGGCGCCGACGCTGCTGCGTCCAAGCAGCGAGAGTCGGAGAGTCCGTCATAACCTTTAGTATGTCAGCAGTGGTCATAACGCTAGCCGCGAAAACCGACGCCCGCGACACGAAATCTTCGATGACGCACGTCGCATTTTAAGTTCTGCATAGTTTCAATGTTTTTTCTTAATCTCAGTTCACAAAAAACCAGTTAACGATTTTAGGTTTAAAGAATCTTTATTCTCAATAATAACATACATATCACTTACTTGAGAACATAACAACATAGGTAGGTAAGGTTAGGCTCGACAACATCTGGACAAAACATGACAATAAACAAGTCCCATCCAACACATTTATTTTTCGGGTATTTGATTAAGAAGTAAATATTTGTAAAGCTGAGTTTTGAATGCGTTGAATGAGTGCAGGTTTCTTATGCGTGAAGGTATTTTATTATAAAGCTGTGCTCCTTCAAATATGAGCATTTTTTACCATATTTTGTTCTTATTTTTGGTAAAACCAATAGACTTGCTCGCCGGGTACTTCGTTGAGTGACTTGTTTGTGTTGTGTAAGAGTAATATTTGAATTGTCAAGATTACACTATTATATTTACAGAGGGTATTAAAAATTTTTATTTTCCAGCAGTTATGTTATGAGTCCTATGTTATGTTATAGGAGGTGAGTCTACCGCCACTGTACACTATTTTAAATTCCATTATTACTGATACATTTTTTAAAGAAGTCAAAAATACTTTTCTCAACCCAGGAATCGGATCCGAGATGCCTTGCCTGGAAGGCGTTACTAGTTTTACAGACATCGATGTCATTCAATGACTTTAATGACTCAAAAAGTTATGGGTTTTCATGATTTGTGAAATATAATAATTATACCATGAAATCTGGATTTATATCTTTGACCATCGACGTCATAGCCTTATATATTATGAGATCGATGTCGTTGAGGCTCTGCCTAGACAAAGGATATTTTCGGAAAATGCCGGAAATTGCTTTCTAAATCCGAGTCTGATCTGTGGTTTATGATAAAAATAAATAATGAACTCATAACATAACATCACGCCTTTTATCCCCGAAGGGGTAGGCAGAGGTGAACATTACGGCACTTCATGCCACTGTACAATGTAACACCCACTTCTTACTATTTATGTTATGAGTCCCATGTAATAGGGGGTGAGCCTATTGCCATGTACCGGGCACATTTCCAGACTCCGTGCTACTACTGAGGTTTTTACAAACCCAGTAATACTCGGTCAATGAGGCAGTCAATAATGAACCCATTTTTTGTTATTTAAAGCAACAATATGACGACGTATTGTAAACCCGATTTAAATAGAGTGAACCTATGGCGTTTCTTGCTCGTTCTTCTCTATAGGAATCTACACCTTGGAATGAGCAAATAGGTTCATTTCTTACGTCGTTGTTGTTGTTGACGTTTAAAAGTGTCTTCCTGGTCAAATTGAAATAAATGATTTTGAC